GGTTTGACACAGCTAAGGGAGGACGTAGCTCCATTAGCTTTAGTTATAGATAAACTGCAGTGTTTTAATGTGAAACTTTAAGGATGTGAAAGTCTCGACACCCTGACTTCGGTCGCTCTCAGCGACTTCGTGTTTTCATGCTGTTTTTCTTTCCTCACCTCGCTGCTGCTCGTCATGGTGGTGGGCGAAGTCAGGAGGCTTTCTGCGGAGGTCATGTGACCTGCAGCATGAGGAAACGAAAGCAGAAGAGTTTAAGACAGCTGTGTCAGCAGCAGCATGATGTCATGATGATTTAATTTTAGCCTCTGATCCTTTATTCCAGAAACCGTTCCTGTCACTTTCAGTCTGATTGGACAAAAATCAGGAAGTGATGCTATAAATATGTGACGACTAATAAAGTTTGTTCCACAGAAACTCTTTCCTGTCATCTGTGTTTGGTCCTGACAGTCATGTGTTACTTCATCTCTGTCATCAGCAGATTGACCACAGGTCACCTTCAGAGGCTGCCGTCGGCTCTGTGGGCGTCTCTGAGTTTGGCGCCGTCCGTGTGGGAGCCTGTGGCGCTGAAACAGATCATTGACATGGCGTCAGCACACTCTGCTTCAGAGGAGTGTTTGTAATGAGATCAGCAGGTGAGAGCAGGTAAATGGACACGTCTCAGAGAGCTGCAGCGTCCTCGTGATGCTGTCATCAGTCAACTGAAGCTAAACAGAGATTTCTTTATTTAAACTCGAGTCACGACTTCATGATGCTCAAGTGAAAAGAGGAAACAGCCCCGAGGTTAGACGTGGTCGACGTGCTGATTTCTGGACAAGGACAACTGTGTGAGGAAGACTTTGCTCACTGAGACGAAGCTGTAGTTGCTATGATACCAGAGTCCGATGGTTCTGGTGTAATAACCTCACCTGTGACGACGCTCAGGTCAAAGTGATGTTTGTCATCGTTGAACCAGCCGGGTATCTCCACCCTGCAGCCGTATCGTCCAGCGTCTCCCTCTGTGAGGCTCTTTATGGTCAGAGAGACATCTCCGTCCTCCAGTCGGCCCAGCAGCTCATACCTGCTGGGAGCTCTGGTTTCCACTCTGACTCCATCTGTGGAGATCAGCTGATTGGAGCAGCCTCTGGTTGGTATTTCTCCTCGCTGCCAGCACGCTGACAGAGCGCCGTGATACTTCCTGTCATATTTACAGGGCAGAGTGACGTCCTGACCTGTGTGACCTTTGACCCTGCTGCCGTCACATTCACAGACTGGAAACAGAAACACAGGAAAACTTTGTTACATCAGATCCAAACTCTGCTCAGATCAGGTCAATGTCATATCATCTTCACTGGTTTTACTGGTTTAACTGGGTCTGAGAGAGTAAAGTATAGATTATTATCATTATTAAACTGATTTAATCGATACCAGTGCCTGATCAGTTTGATAGATTCTGCTTGTTTGGCAGTTTGATGTCAAAGTTTAAAAGAAAAGGTCAAAGGAGCTTGCAAAGAAAAGTGTCTGGACTTCTTTAAGTTG